GTGAGGTCCAGTATGCTTTCTAGTGCAGGAGCCTAGGGGGTTAGGGTTAATAATAATATAATCCGCACAGCCCTCACCAGTGGGTACCAGTCACTGTACATATTTTTGTAGAGTGGAAACCTGTCTGGGCAAGGTTACAGGTGTACAGTGGCCACACTGGTATGATCATATGACTCAGACAGGACAGACTGCATCAAATCCGTGACAAACTCACCACCAAAGACGTAGAGGTGGGAGAAGTTGACGATGGTCCCTGTGTGGTCGGCCAGCCCCGGGGGCACCGCGGCCGCATCGTCACCGGTGGGCAGCAGCGTCCACGCCTGTGTCTTGACGTCGAACGACCACAGCTCGTTGGTCAGCGAGCCGTTGGACAGGACGCCACCAAAGACGATCAGCTCGTCCGAGTAGAGCACCATGGAGTGGGCATAGCGGCCAGCCTGGATAAAGTAGGCAGGTGTACATGTACATATCAATATACAAATCTGGCCTGCTTTGATGAACGCAATATGTGCTATGAACAATCTACACTGAAAGCCAGTCAAAAATGCCCTGAAATTGTCTGGACTAAATTCCAGGAACAAACACCCAATACAGTCGACTCTCGGTAATATGAGCTCAGGTAAGACGAGACTCCGGTTAAGACGAGTATATTTGCTGGTCCCGACTGAATTATGCACATTCCTATGAGGAAAAAAATCCATAATACGAGCTCACGTGTTACGAGATTCCGTTTAAGACGAGCATTTTGGGGGCCCCAGCTGAATGTAAATGTAATGTTATCCGTCTAATTAGCACAAGCAATTTTGAAGGCAACTTGATTGTGTACAGCAGTAAAGCGCTGCGGTTTTCACTCACCAAGTGAAGCCGTCTGTGTCTGGTGCCGCAAGAAAGACAAACAATAGGCGTTTGTACTAACATACAAATTCTTTGTGGTGGCTCTCGTGCCACCTAAACACACGCGGAAATAACATCCACAATTTTTTCGAAGGAAAAATGTACATCCCTCCCTTAATTTTTCACCCAAACCCACACGCTGTTTCAAATTAAAACGTACAATACTCAATAATTTATTTGCCCTCTACTGGTCGATCCACACCACCAATAAATGGTTCCCGCCCTTTTTGTGCAACAAACGCAGCACTGATGTTGGTTACCTCCTAAAATGTTAATGTACATGCGTGTGTTGTATGACGATCTCATCGCGGCGTGCTGGGGATGTAAACGGCATCGCTCCAACCATGCATCCTCCAACTCAGTTTGAACGGTTTCTCCGTTCTTATATTATGTTTTCACTGATATCCACTGATTTAAAGAAGAACACCCTCCGCAAGCTACTGAGGGACACTTGCACCAAAACCGTATTCTCATGTAATAATGACTTGTACCAACAGACTGATGGTGTTTCCATGGGATCACCACTAGGACCAGTCTTAGCCAATATATTTATGACCGAACTAGAGGAAACAATTATCCCTAAGCTTGAAGATGAAGGTATTATCAAGTTTTACACCCGCTTTGTTGAA